GGGGGGGGGGGGGGCAGGACAAACAAGGATGCCACCCTCCTGGGGCTCAGCTCCTTAGTGGGAGATCAGGAAGGCACCTCTAAGTATCGTGGGACACAGAACTGAGCAAGTGCAGAGCGGGCCTCTGAGGTGAGATCTGAATCACAAGAAGAGGGTCCCCGTGTGGAGGTCAGGGAGGATGTTCCACTCACAGGGGATGGTCCTTCCAAGGCAGGCGCTGGCAGAAGCACTGGGAGAGCTCAAGGGAAGGACATAAGGATGGTGTTTGCTGCATGGTCTACGTGCAGAATCATAGGGCTTTGGGCAGGGAAGAAATGTGAATTATGTTTTAAAAACTCAACCTTGCTGCTGAGTATAGAATAGAGGGCAAGAGTAGCAGCAAGAAGACTTCCAGTTAGGAGGCTGTCACTATGGTCCAGGCAAGTCAAGAGGGTGGCTTGGTCTCCAGATGGTCGCGCAGGTGGCTCTGCTGCCTGACCTATTTACTCTGTTCCAGCCTTTTCTTGTCACCAGCTCTCTGGCATCATTTTAACTGCATTTATTCTTTTGCTCTGCTTAAAGGCAGATTTGAGAAGATTGGGAGGTTGAAAAAGGTTTCAAGATTAAAAACAAGAAAAACTGTCTCTTGAATGCCTTATGTTGACCTGACGTAACCCATTCTGTTTCATCCATAGTATCTATAAAGAGAGTAGTGGAATCCAGCACACACTATAAGGCAACTCAGCTAGGACCTTGTTCCTCTCTGGTTCAATAAATATTACTGATGATGATGAAAACTCTATTTTAGTATCTTTCCTTTTTTTGAGAACAACTTAGTAATGATCTCTAAAATTGACAATTGATGCCTTGGCCAACACAATTGGAATGTGTGTTTGTACTCAGGTAGTTAAAACTATGCTGAATAGTTTGCTCTGTACTAAGCATGTACACTACTGGCCTTTGAGGTAGGTTTTTGTTTTGTTTTAATTATCCTTGTTCTACAGATAAACCACTGAGGCGCAGAGAAGTAACTTCCCCAGGTTACACAGGTAGGAACCAATGGGGCCATAATTTGAGTCCAGTCAGTCGAGCTCCCGAACCTGCCCTCTCAGAAAAATAATTATTGAAAGTAACACCACTGGTTTCTTACTGTTGTACAGGAATTTTAGAAGCATTCATTATCGCATTTGATCCTCAAAACTCTAGGAGGTGGATAAGGTAGGCATTATTATCCCATTTTACAGGTGAGAATACTGAGTTACAGACGTTACCCCACTTGCTCAATTTTATATATAAAGTAGACAGCGTCTGAGCCATGACTAGCTTTTAAGCTTTTTGAGTGAGGGTGCTTTTCATTAAACCTATAATTTCCTAATTAGATAATACCTGTAGCTGATCAACATCTTTTTCTCATTTATAAATGTATATATACTATATATCATATATATGAAAGCCATTAATATTTATAAAATTGAAATTATGTTTAGTTATACATTTAATGAATCATCTCTCCTGATAAAATAATTGCATAAAAATGCAGCATATATATGAATAAATACTTGAATAAGAATTTTCTTGATTGTAATTTTTTTAACATTTTAGTGTATTTGAAAACAAAATGTCTTACAATCAATGTATATATTTAATAGTTTATCCTTAAAAATAATTGCATCAGTGTTGCTTCTCAAAATTGAAAGGTCAAAAAAAAATGAAGGGTCTTAAAAGATAAACATTATTTGGAATATACATATATAAACTACTGAAAAATCTGGTGTGAATAGGCTCTGTCATCTGGGAAACATGAACGAGGATGAGAAAGTTTATCACATACTGAAATTTTGAGAAAAGTTTTCTTGGACAGAAAAATGGGGAAGATTACAAATTGCATACTCACTGTACTTAATCTCGGGTCAATCGTTTTTTTAGAACAGGCGATGTTATATGCACTTTTAGAGACAATAACTAGAAGGGTCACTAGATGGCACTATTATTCTTAGTACTGTAGTAACACCTATTCCGTAGTGATCTTGAGAGTGACAAAGTCCAATAATGCTGTAACTTTGTCAAAATTGTTTTGTTTTTTTTTAACATCTTTATTGGGGTATAATTGCTTTACAATGCTGTGTTAGTTTCTGCTTTATAACAAAGTGAATCAGTTCAAAATGGTTTCTTAAAAGGAAAGAATTGATGATAAGGTCTGTTACAATGAAATTCATACTGTTTTGTGAATCCCAAAATGCAGGGAGCGATCTCTAGGACTCCTTTTTACAACGCAGCATTCATTTGTTCATTCATTCAATCATTCGTTCACTTACAAATATTTATTGAGTGTTTTGAAAGTGCCAGGATCTCAGTGAAGCTCTGGTTACTTTCACACTGAAGTAATGACTTTTTTTTTCAAGTAAGAGCACAGGCTTTGCACTAGTAAGACCTGAATCCTCCACTTACTGGGTCATCTTAAGTAAGCCCTTATTATTATTATAACTTCTGTTTTTGAGATGAGAAGAGTAAGGCACAGAGCCAGTGGCTGTGGATGGAAATACTTTGTAAAATCATGCTTTCTATATGAATACTATTACTACCTCAAGAATGTCGAGGACTATGTCTAGTAGTAGTTCTATTTACATAATAGGCTATTAAATCACACAATCTAAGCTTATTAAGATCAGCCTCGGGACTTCCCTGGTGGCACAGTGGTTAAGAATCTGCCTGCCAATGCAGGGGACACAGGTTTGAGCCCTGGTCCAGGAAGATCCCACATGCCGTGGAGCAACTAAGCCTGTGCAGCACAACTACTGAGCCTGTGCTCTAGAGCCCACGAGCCACAACTACTGAGCCCTGTGCCACAACTACTGAAGCCTGCACTCCTAGAACCTGTGCTCTGCAACAAGAGAAGACACCGCAATGAGAAGCCCGCGCACCACAACGAAGAGCAGCCCCCGTTCGCTGCAACTAGAGAAAGCCCGCGCACAACAACGAAGACCCAACACGGCCAAAAATAAAATTAATTAATTAATTTTAAATATATATATATATATATATATGCTTAAAAAAAGAAAACATTATTTAAAAAAAAAAAAGATCAGCCTCAACACAAGTGACCATGAGACAGTTTCTCAGTGCAGCTCTTCCCTGCCTCAATATATGTCTTGGAAATACCATCAGAATCAAAACGAAACAGATCCGAAGTGTTTTGGCAGAAGGATACTAGAGGTGTGTTTGGGATGTGAACGAATGGGTGTGTTTATATATAAAAAATTGTTTCAACGCACCTTGCAGGAAGCCAACCTCATCTCTTACCAGCTTCACTTCTCCTGCAGTTGGTTTTGCTCCCAGTGCACAATGTACTTCCTTTCAGACGCTCATTCTGAATGAACGTGATGACGATGCATATTTACTCCCGGACGTTGCTAACCAGCACAGCAAAAATAAATCTGAATACTTTATTCACATTTTGTAATAATCAGGGTGTAAATTGACAATGGCTCATTTAGGAGGCTGTGCTCGTTGTGCTTTACTCAAGTTCCCTTTTTATGTGTGATCTGTTTAT